AATCTGAGGGGGAACCCCCCCCCCCCCGCCCCCTTCCCTGGGCTTTCCCCGGCCTTTGGTCTTCCCAGACCCGCCTTGCCCTCGGCCCTTGCGCGGCCGCTCCTCCTTGGGGGGCCGCTCGCCCCCACCCTTCCGCCGTCGCTTGCGCTCCCCCGTCTCTTCGGGCCGGACGCTGGGCAGCTCGTCTTCGTTCAGCACGCGGGGGATGTTCTGCTCCCCCCGGGCCCGAGCCCGGGCGATGGCCTCGGCCACGATCCGGTTCGCTTTCTCCTGCTTCTTCTGGTGTTCCAGCTTGCGGGATTCGTCCGAGCTGCTCCGCGTCGTCCCGCTAGAGGACGGAAGGGCCGCTACCTCGCTACTGCTCAGCACCTTGACCACAGAGAGCCCCGAAGAGCTGCCTTGGGATGAACTGGCCTGCAGAGAGATGCATAGAGAGCGGCACCCTTTTAGAGACGCATGCTATGGTGGTCTTGCATCTCTTGCCTTCGCTGCTCAGAAGCAAAGAGTTACAAGCAATGTACATTACTCTTGAGAGTCCTCCGGACTGCAAAGAGAACAAACCTATCCGTTCTGAAGGAAATCAACCCTGAGTGCTCACTGGAAGGACAGATCCTGAAGCTGAGGCTCCAATACTTTGGCCATCTCATGAGAAGAGAAGACTCCCTGGAAAGGACCCTGATGTTGGGAAAGTGTGAAGGCAAGAGGAGAAAGGGGACGACAGAGGATGAGATGACTGGACAGTGTCAGCGAAGCTACCAATATGACTTTGATCCAACGCTCTGGGAGGCAGTGGAAGACAGGAGGGCCTGGCGTGCTCTGGTCCATGGGGGTCACGAAGAATCGGACATGACTTAACGACTAAACAACAACATTACATGGAACTTGCTATTTTTGAGAACATGACTTAACAACTAAACAACATTACATGGAACTTGCTATTTTTTTTCAGGTAACAAGGACGTAACAATGGTAGGTTTAAAAGCAAAACAACAGCCAGAACCCACTGGAACGTTTATACCGGTGTTACCCCACTAATGTAAATTTCAGCAAATAATAAATAAAAACAAAGAAATAAAAATGCTGTTGGTTAAGAGGTCTTTTGCACTGCTTGTGACATACGGAATTACTCATCTTCTCTTTCACAGGAGATACTTTCCCCAACTTCTTAAGGAGCAGTAATCCCCTCCTGACAATTACACCAGAACACTTACACTGGTAGATGTAAGCAGTAGGATTTTGGCCAGTGACACAAGTAAGGTTTGTGTAAAAAATGACATTTCAATACTTACAGGCACTGGATTATAATACTTATTAAAGTTCATTACCTATTACATTCAGCAGCAAAATAATTACTGTAACAGTCCTGTTGAGGATAACTAACTTTTCTTTCCAAAGTTTCTTTTTAAGGGCCGTTTTCAAATTCTACACCATCCCCTTTCACCAATCCGGGTTTATTTATTTTTTTGGGTGGGTGGGTGCATTTCTATGCTTACAGGTATTTGGTTACAGAATTAATCATTTCGGATAACTGCATATTATATTCAGCAACCAAAAAGAAAAATCGAGAAATCACAGTAGTATTGTTGGAGACAACCACAAACGAACAACAAGAAAAACCAATTCTGAAAGGCAAGGTATTATTGGCCATCAGGAAGCATAGCAATTTTACAGGAAGAGCACGTTGCAAATGAAATCTGACTTGGAGGTGCACAAGTCAGAGACTGCTCTGTTGAAAATGACAGGGATTATGTATGCAGAAAAAATTAGCAGGCATTGGATTTTTTGTTATATATTTTTTAAGACATCAAATCCTGTAATTCACCATTCCAGTTGTTCCTCCTGACCGATGTACACCTAGACATCGAACTGTCGCTCACCTGGAGAAAAGGCCAAGCTGGGAAAGCTCCTAGGCCTGGTAGAGGCCGAGCACCACCCTCACTTCCTGTTCAGAAAGGAAGTTCCCTGGGCAGCTTCCTTTCTGCACAGGAAGCTAGGGCGGAGCTAGGCCTAGGCCATGCCTTGAAACCTTCTCAGCTCTGCTTATTCTCCTGGTGTCGGCAGGGGACTGTTAGGTGGAACGCCAGGAATGGATAAATATAGGATATATATTAGCAACCAATTGGAAAAAAAATGCACATGCAATCAATGGATTGTTAAAAAAAAATAAAACATGATTTTGATCTTGGAAACTGCAATAAATCCTGCTAAATATAAATATTATTGCTACTCCAAGTAAAACACACTGGTCACATGTCTGTTGAAGTTTATTCCATGTATAAGAATTCTGCAATTCTGTTCCACACAGAACAGCCTGTCTTGCTAATGGTCAAGCAAGGGGGTCAAACACCTGATTTCAGAAATAGTATGCAACAGGTTAAAATAAGTTTTTTAAAAAAACCAGAGTGGATAAAAATAAATGAGTTTTTTAACATTTAATTGATTTACATCACGATTTAAATTTTTTTTAAATGATTTTTTTTTAAAAAAAAATTTAAACCATTTAAAAAATGGTATTTTTTAAAATTTAAATTGTGATCTAAATCCACCCTGGGGAAAAAAGCTACAGTACTTATTGGAAAGAAGTGTATCTTGACCACTAGGGATTAAAAGACACTGACTGTCTTTACAACTGCACAGGTGACCACGTGGCAGAATGTCTAGGTTGTCGGTCTAGCCCCGTATGCATCCTGCGGAAAAAAAACATGGGACTTTGGGAGATCAGAAGGTGGTTAACTCTGCACGGTCCCCTCCTTCACATGAAAAGATCACCAACCAGAGCCCGGGAAGAAACCCTTACCTGCGGCTGCAGCACAACCTTGAGGGGGACAGTGACCCTCTGCCCTGAGCCGCCCACCACCTGGGCCTGCTGGACTGAAGAGACGCTCAAGGGAGCCTGTTGTGGCCCGGAGGCATTGGCCGCGGGCTGCTGCAGAAGCTGGATCTTCTGAGTTCCCGGCTGGCCACCAGGTTGCGGCTGCTGTCCAGGTTGCTGGACCTGAAGCTGGATGGTGACGACCTTGGCAGGCTGCCCGGGCACCCCCTTGGCTTGGCTCAAGGCGGCCAGCTGGTTCCCCTGGAGCACAATTTTACCTGGGAGGCTACCCAGGACTACGTGCCGTTGCCCCGGGGCGCCGCCGCCGGCTGGGGGTTGCTGGAGGACCAAGGTGATGCGTTTGGATTCTCCCTATGGAAGAGACAAGAGAATTAATGGAGGAGAATTAATCAAGGCTGGCAGTCACAACGGCGGCATATTTCCTCCACTTACAAAGGCATCATACTATAAAGAGGAACATGTTTCTAACAGTCTTGACTGCAAAAAGCGCAGCTTAACAGCTGAGGAACGTGAGGAAGAGGGCATTTGTGATCTTCATATAAGTAACTTGCTGGGCTCTGTGGAAATGCTAGATAAGAGCCCAATATGGGCCAGAAGTGGCTCCATAGAATCATAGAATAATTCAGTTGCAAGGGGCCTAGAAGGCTATCAAGTCCAACCCCCTGCTCAATGCAAGAGTACAATCAAAGCAGATCTAACAGGTGGCCGTCTAAATTTCTCTTGAATGCCTACAGCGTTGGCATGCTCATTACCTCCCAAGGTCATTTGTTCCGTTGTCATACTGCTCTAACAGTTAGGAAATTTTTCCTGATATTCAACCGAAATCTGGCTTCCTGCAGCTTGACCGCGTTATTACATGCTCTGCACTTGGGGATGACTGAGAACAAATTCTGCCTTTCCTCCACAGAACTACATTTCAAGTATTTGAAAAAATGCTCTCCTATCTCCCCGAAGTCTTCTCTTCTCAAGGCTAAACATGCCCAGTTCTTTCAGTCCTTCCTTACAGGGTTTGGTTTCCATATATGGCCCCCTCCCATTTTTGAAGGACCCCAATCATCATCTTCCACAAGACTTTCATGCTGTAGTCCAAAGCCAGAAGAAGTCTATCTGTCAGGACTCTGGTCTAGCCTGTGGCTGCTCTCCTGATGTTCTTATGATTTCAAGGTCATCTTAGAAGATCTCCAGGCCCAGCTCATTAAAAAGCTGCCATTTCCATATTTCTCTGTATA